GATTCAGGAGCAGGAGTGCCTTCACGAGATTGACGTGGTGAATCTGGAGGGGAGGGAACCACGTCAATGTTCGGTAGGTCTCCTTGATTTTGATGGATTTGATTTTGATGGTTTTCCAATGTGTTATCACTGTTATTGTTGTTGTTGTTGTTTGACATGTTGATAAAGACGAATAAAACGTAGCTTCAAAGAAACGATTATCAGTTTCCCGGTAACGGAACCAATTTGTTTAACCAAAAATATGATTCTTTGGTCAAAGCTAAAGACAAATAAAAATTCGGGCTACTGATAATGAGGAGACGAAAAAGAAATAATAGACTTTTGAGAATGACAAATAAGCAGTAAATAGGTTTGTATTCCAATGTAATGTTGATGATATCCCCTGTCCTTACAAATGACGAGACCTCCTCCTTTTATAGTTGATTCTAAGTGAAGGAATAATACCTTAGTCTTAATGAGACAATTATGAGCAATAAATGACATTAAATAAGACGTTACACAATCATTCCTATTTAATACCAATTCTCTAACGTATTGGGTATTTAATATTGAATTTGGACTCCTTTTCGTCATCATATCCATGTCTTCAATGCCTTCTGATCTCTTGGCTTTAAATGACCTAAATAGGTACGAAGCTTGTATTATTCGAATTGCCTCTCGTGCCTATTTAGCTTTCCTTTCCCCGTATCTGTTGTCACTCGTGCCTCTTAACTGATCATCATGTTTTGACCATTTGAGCAGTCCTCGTGTCATGCCACGTCACCTTCAATGTAAATTCAGTTTTTTCCCAATACAATATAACATGTCATTTCGCCAGTGGTATAAACAACAAACGTAATTTGAGATGATTCATCGAAAGAGTAAAACTTAAGTAATCTACTAGAAAATTAATATAGAAAAACGATAAACTAGCTCAGTTTCTAATACCGTTGTCTTGAATTTCACAGGGAGGATTGATTCATCTTAAAGAAGATCATCGTCACCTCAAGTTTGGATAAATTCGTAAATGAGTTGGTTGCTGCAAAGATTACGGGTCACTCTATATCGTATTCTCTTTCTTATTATGTAATTAATTAAGGCAAAAGCTTAACAATAATCCGTTATCGTCCAGCGGTTAGGATATCTGGCTTTCACCCAGGAGACCCGGGTTCGATTCCCGGTAACGGAAACTTTTCCTTCTTTGTCATTTATTTTTTTCTGAATACTACAGTTGATTAGTATTTCTCATATGCCATGTCATTTCTCCCAAGTTTTAGTTCTGATATTTTAATTACCTTTCTTCAGTTTCATATTATGTGATCTTTTAATTCAACTAGATGCTAGATATAGAGTTTAGGAAAAAAGGTAATCTTTTGACTTATAAACTAAAAACATATCACATACCAAGAGTACCCTTTAATAAATTGTCGTGTCCACATTTACAAGAGGTTGTCATTAAGTATAAAAAAATGCTACAATTAAAGAGTTTCTAAGAATATCATATAGGTAAATTCTCCCTCCTTCCTATTTTATGTGATATTCTTTCCCGTGAAGGTTGATTTTTTTTATATTTTTTTGCATTTAGAACTACTTCATCTTAACATCCCTAATTCTTTTTGTTTTGGACTTCCAATTAATAATAAACATATTCTTTTACCATGAGAGCAAAAATAGAGGGAGTATTATCATCTCACAGTTCTAAGAACAATAATAAAATTTTGTACTATGTGTATGTGGTTAGCATACATATAAAAAGAAATTCTTTCATTTTAGAATCCAAGTTAAATTCAAATACTTTGAAATAAGGGAAATAAATTGGATGGGGGTATATCGTAATAGTAGATTTGACAAGATTTTTACTTTCAAAACCTTGCCATACATAAGTTTACAATCTGTTCCAAATATTATATTACATGTGTGGTTTAACTACTCAACTACATACGTAATCATTGAAATTAAAGAAAGATAAAAAGATAATAAATAGTGAATAATTGAACTTGCAAAAAAGGGAAAGATATCCTAAAGCACAAGGCAAATGCCACATGGAAAAGCCTTGGTTTGTGAGCCTTGCCTCTGTGAGTCTATGGCTTAATTTTGACTTTAATTAAGGCCGGCGACCACTTAAAACTTTGCACAAACACGCAATATTCTGAAATATATAATCCAATAAAAAACAACAGGAATTCTTGTCAAAGACTCAATCTTTATCAGAAAATTAGAAAAATAATAATTAATCTTTGTTCCTTTAATTTTGAGCCCAAATATATTAATCTAGTCTAAACCACCAAACATGTGTAATTTATAAAATATGTGCAACAACAATATCATACCCAGTATAATCTCATAAGTAAAGTCCGAAAAAATTGAGGTGTACGAAAACATTAGCCCTCCTAAGGTAAAGAAGTTATTTTCAATAGTTTTGGCTCAAAAAAAATGTTTGAAAAATACAAGAGTAAAAAATTAAGATACTATGATGAACATACTAAAGAGAAAAAAGATATAGACATAAACAACAGTAAATTTTTTATAAAATATGTAAAATATTAAATTTTAAACCCCGTAATTCAAATAATCAAAGAGTCAATTACATCTGAAATTCATAAAATTCAAATTTTGAATTTGTCCAAACCATTGGAAAATATCCCCTAAAGACCCACCAATATAATTATTCTCCTTTTCTTGTTCTTTTCTTCCTTCCATTTTGTCTTTCTGTGTGTTTCTAATTCATATATAGAGGAAGAATACTATTATACCTAACACTATATACTAGTCTCTCTTTTATCTTTTTCCACAAAGAAACCACATTTCATTGACTTCTCAATTCGTAGCTAAACAACTCTTTCTCTCCTTCCCTCCCACATCAACCCCAACAAACTCAGTTTTCTCCCTCCATTTTTTGTTCTTCATATTTATATGCTAATTAATCACTTCCTTAATTAGGTTTGTTAATTGAATCAGACAAGGAGTGGTGGCAGTAGTCAAGATCGTTCAGCTTGAGGGATAAATTACGTGACTGACCCGCCAGTACATCAAATATCGTAATTTCTTGATGTAATTTCAATGCCTTTTAACTTATCATTAATTTCATTTTCGACTCTTTGTAAGTATATTTCTCTTCTATATACCTTTTCACTCTTCGTATATATACATGATTATACACGAATTCAGAATTTAAGTATGTTAAGTTCAACTTTTAAAGTTTTTTGTAATAGACTTAATTATTATGTTTTTTAACATTATAGTAAGTTTTGAATGTATATTCTCAGTCGAAAATATTGAATTCAGTTGGATACATAATTAATACAAGGCTGCATATTCTTTTTCCATTTGTTCATTAATGCTAATTTTTTCATATTGAGTGCTGAAAATTTATATACCTACGCATAATTTGTCGTATCCTATGTTGTGGCTTTGAGATATGTGCAAAAAATGGCTGAAATATTGGGTTTTCTATTTGCAGGAAAGGTCAAACAGAGTGATAGCAGCAAGAACGAAGGGAAAATGGACGGTGAAGATCGAGTTATAAGACGACGAAAGAGTTTAACAGAACGGCTAGGATTAAAAGGAATCGGATGTTGTGGGTCCAGATGGGGTATATTGCCAGCAACATTAAATGTAATGGGCGATGAAGACGACGTAGAAGAAGTGATGAGTCATCATATAATTCATACACCGTCCGAAATAGTCTCTACTACTACTAGTATAGCATGCTTGGGTCATATTCCGGGAGGAAGTTCCGGGATGAATTTGGCGGCCGCGTTGGCCGCCGAACGTCACTTTCGAGAGGAAGCTATAGAGCAAGGTTTGGACAATGCAATTGGCAATAACCCGAGTCCACGGCCCGGCTCGAGCCCGTTGAGGCCCGATATTGACGGGCCGAGGACGGTACCCGGGACACCAGCAAGGATGTCGTTGATGAGATTGTTAGAAGAAACGGAAATATACGAAGGAGAATTAATGGAGAAAGAAGAAGGGGTAGGGGGTGAAACTATTTGTTGTGTGTGTATGCAGAGGAAAAAGGGAGCAGCATTCATACCGTGTGGTCACACATTTTGCAGGGTGTGTTCAAGAGAGCTTTGGGTAAATCGAGGTTGTTGTCCCCTTTGTAACAGATCCATTCTTGAAATTCTCGACATTTACTGAGGTAAAAAAAAGAATCCAAGGTTTTGGTCATGGGGATTTGTTAAAAGTAAAGAATTTAAATCAAATTGAGGATGTGAAATTGCTCAAGACCGGGTGAAATTCGCTAAATATGAGTTGGGCGCTTTAATTATTCCGCCGTAGATACAAAAAAAAAAAAAAAAAAAAAAAAAAAAAAAGAGCGGGATGAGAATTTGATTTGCAGTGAAAAATTAAAGTTTCTAGTCTTTGTCGTGTGATTATATGGATTATTGGTGTAATTTTTCCCTTTTTTAAAGTTTGTAAATAAGCCAAAAGAACTTTTTTAAAGAAAAGATTTTGGACTTATGTAGATGAACAACTATACTTGTACAATGTTAGTTCTAGTCATTCTATATCCAAATCCAAGTTGACCAATTCAATGTCATCACAAAACATGGAATAGTCGCAAGCACGGCCTTTTCTCTTGATGGAACAAAAAAACTAGAGAAA